GGCCTGATACACTGTAATAATAAGGTATTCCGGAAATGCATGATATATAGTCATTGTATTTCATCAAAATGTTAGGTAGCATCAACTTCAAGTTATTTCATCTACAATAATTATGAAGGTGCTTAACTTTTGGTTATGTATGTGTTTTAGCATATATATGTATGTATATATGAGTATCCTATATTTGTTATATGTCATCAAGTTGTTCCTTGATTATTAGAAAGACGTTTTGTGATTTTAATTTTTCAAAACGTTCATTTCCTTTTATGTTTATGAATGTTTGTCTGCGTGATGCACATGCACCGCACGTACTCCAGTGCTCTCCGGAGGGCAGAAGAGGGTGCTGGATCCCCTGGGACTAGAACTAAGGATTTTTTTGAGCTGCCATGTAGGTGCTGGAGACCAAACTCAGCTCCTCCAAAGAGCAACGAGTGGTTTTAACTGTGGAGCCTGACACTCAGATTTTAATGCTGGAAGTCAGTCAAGGGTACTGTAGATTTACTGTTTCCTGAAGTTGTGGATCACTGTCCCCAGAGCATAACATGGCCATTGTTACCTTGCATGGTAGCTGTGACTGCAGACTTTCTCAGGCCTGTGACCACACCCTTGTGGGAGGAGGAGGGGTGAGGGAGGGTCATTAGATTCTAACCTGAAATTCCAGCCACTCCCTCCTGACCCAGCAGTAGTACACAGTGCTCCCTTAGCAATAGGAGGTACTGGGAAGTGCTGCATTATATACAGGAGGTGGAAAATTAGCTAAGGGGGGCCTCTACAGATGCAGCTTCCGGGAGGTCATAGTCACCCATGTTGGCAGGGGACGTTTCAGAGACATGAGGTCAACCACACACCTGTGAGTGATCCTTTATTTATTCTCCAAAGTAGGCTGAATAATAGTGGCTTTTAAGCTGGACCTGGGCACAATTGTCCCCCTTCTACCTGCCATTGGTACTCTTATCTGAAGTACGCATTTCTTTACATCTCCCCAGGAAAACTAATGCCATGCCCTTTAAGAGCTGACAACTGAATTCTTGTCTTTATTTCCCTGTCTGCCTTTGCCTCCACCACCCTGGAGAGGTGAGGAAGTGCAGAGACAGCTCCTCAGAAGACAGTAAATGTGTTGATGTTGACTTGGGAGTGGGTGCCAGGAGGTGGGTAGCCTCTTAAGCCCCTGCCTAACACCTAATTCTTCTGTGATTCTACAAAAATAAAAACAAATCAAGGCAGCAGAGTAAACCTTGTTACTCTTGAGGATTATGCTGCTCATCATAGGTGATACTTGAACGACGGGAAACAAGAAAACAGTATCCTGAGGTCTGAGTTAGAAAGCGAAAGAAAGGAAGAGGGAGGGAAAATAAATACTGCACTTAGGAACAATCTTCCAGCAGAGATGCCTCTTGATGGTCTTTCTATCTTCCAATGTCTTCCTTCCTCTCTTCCGTGTTTTACAAAGTTTTAATTATAGACGTCTTTACTATCCTTGGCTAGGGTTATTAAAAGTTATTTTTAGGCTATTCTGAATAAGATTGTTTTCCCGATATCGTTCTGGGTATATTTGTCAGTGGCATACAGGAATTCTATGAGCTTTACTGAACTATTTTATATTCTGCCTCTTTGCTGAGAATGTAATGGGTTTTGAGAGTCTTCTGGTGAAGTCTTTAGCATCTTTTAGGTAGAGTCATATCACTTTCTAAGTCCATGTGATTGGTGATATCATTTAACTGAGGTATTTCTCTGTTTTTTGATGGGATGGCTGGATCCCATCAGCTGGGGATGATGTCACCAGTACTTTTGTGCTTGGGTTAATCTGTGACTTTACATCTAGTAGTATTTTTTTAATGGAACTGACTGCACTGGTGTTTCAGGCATGTATGCTCCCTCCATCATGAGTAGAGACCTTCATCTTTTCTCACCTGCTTTGAAGTCCGTGTTGTCAGACTTTGAAAAGCGGTACCAGCTTAGTTCCTAGGTGTGCGCTTGCAAACCTTTTTCCATCCATTTGTTCTAAGGTAATGTCTATCTTTTGTGATAGTGTTTGGCTTTTTTTTTTCCTCTTGCTTTACTATTATTCTAGTGTGGTTTATTTGTTCCTATAGCCTCATGGATGGATTTTTTTTTTTCTCTTAATTATGTAGGATTCCTTTAACTATCTTTCGTATAGCCTGTTAAGTGGTTATACACTTTTTTTTTTTTTTTTTTGTGGAAAGGTATTATTTTCCTTCAGCTCTGATGGGATTGCCTGGTACAGCAGTCTGGGTTGGTGGTTGCCTGTAGAACTTGAATTCCTCCTGTACAGACTATCTGAGCTTTCAAAGTTTCAGTTAAGGAATGCACTGTTATTCAGTTAAGGACCCGCCTTTATATGTAATGTGTTTCTCTTGCAACTTTAACTATATTCTCTTTGTTCTGTATATTCAATGTTTTAGTTATAATATGATGAGGGAGGTGTTGCCTCTTTTCATTTGTTTGTTTATTTGTTTTGCCTAGCTGTCTCCAGAACTGGATTGGCAGCTTTTTTCTTACTGGGGTATCGTCTGTTTCAAAACATCTTTGAAATGTTTTCTCTGTCTTCAGAGCAAGATTCTCCTCCTGTGCTCGCTGTATGCCTTGGCTTTTGCAGATACCTTCTTTTTCCTTTGTCTTTGTTCACGGTGTGTTGTCCACCTCCTCCCCTTCTCTTTCAAGCTTGGTACTCTGACTTCCCAGATCCTCTCTGCTGCTGTGACCTCCAGCTTTCTATTGACTTACTGCCTTTTTACTTCCAGCATTTCAGGTTGGTTTTAATTCGTTACTTCTGTCTCCTTGCTGAATTCTTCTTTCTTGCCACCACCACCTTTGTATCTTTGCACGTATTTATAGTCACTTTTAGTTCTGTCCGGGGTGTCATCTAACTCTCTCTCCGTAGATGCCACTACTGTACATTACTAATTTTGGGGAGTTTTACCGACCTGGCCTTTTCTGTTTCTTATGCTCCAGTGCTGGGATTTACACATGAGGTCTTTATTTTTGTTGTGCACTTTGTTTTATCAGTTATATTCTTTTACTTGAAGTATTTACAGTGTTCACATGGGACTTGGCTGTGGTGGTGTGTCCTTGAGAAAATAATTGCTTTAGTTGAGGAGCTCAGGGTGCCTGGTGTAAACTTTATATCATTCCCTGTGTAGGATAACCGGGAAAGCAGCCACGGCTTCTTGGTAGCTCAGCTGTGTGGATATTGTACTGGCCCATTAGCAAGAGTGGCCCCTTTGACTTAAGCCACTGTTGGAGGATAAACAATCGAGTAGTGTGGAGTGTGCTTGGATTCTAGTTACTAACTTGAGGGGTGGGAGGAAAGCACGGTGGCCAAGTGTGAGGACCAAGGATTGACTCTGAAAGAGAATTGAGTTTGGTAGGGAAGGAGAAGCTGGGACACTCTTAGGGCCAAAGCCTGAGAGAGTGTTAAATCTCTGACAGGTATAGTTAGGTAAAAGAGGAAGGGGTAAGAGTTAGAGAAGGGGTACTAAAGAGACTAGAGCACTGGCTGCTCTTCCAGAGGTCCTGAGTTCAAATCCCAGCACCCACATGGTGGCTCACAACCATCTCTAATGAGATCTGGTGCCCTCTTCTGGCCTGCAGGCATACATGCATGCACAAGTGTGTGTGTGTGTGTGTGTGTGTGTGTGTGTGTGTGTGTGTGTGTGTAACATTAAAAAAAAGAAAGTATAAAAGACAGGGATAAGAGCTGGGTATATGAGGTGGCTGGTGAGTATAGTAAAGAATGCCTTCTAGCCAACAGGGTGGAGGACAGGAGCAACTGCCCTAAGGCCTAACTGAGCAACATGCGGACAAAAGCAAAATCGCCATGAGCAATGAATGCAAGAGTGGAAACTAAATAATAGAAAATAAGGAATAAAAATAGTTGAGGTGTTAATTGTTGTTAGCTGTGCTGAGTTGGAATTTCTTGGTTTCCTCTGGATCTCTGGCAGGTGGCAGTGGTGTGATGTGAGGGAGAGGAGAGGAGGGGCCCTTGAGCTCTGCAGCTCCAGTGTTTCTGGGTTCTGAATGGGAAGGGGTGAGACTGGATGTCCCTTGGATTCCTGCACCTCCTCTGGTTCTTTGGGTCTGGGTTATGTGAGGGGCAGCGTTCTTAAGCCTCAAACACACACACACATACTACTATTCGGGATAGTGATACGACAGTGTTACTAAATTGCTCCTTGGGTCTGAATAGCTATCATTGAGTAACAAGACAAATGGGTAGAATGGGGGTGGTATTTGTGGGATGGTTCTGGAAGTTCTGTGTGTGTCCTGTTTGCTCCCATCACCTTCCTGTATCCATCCCATAGCTTTAGATGCCGGATGGAGTCATTTTGTGCCCAAAAGAGCCCAGTTAGCCATTCTTAGAACTCTACCATGAAACAAGATGGGTAATTTGTTTGATATTTAGATTAGAAATCTACTGACAGCCAGATATTTAGCCCTATATGATCTTGGTTTTTGTCTCTTATGGTTGTTGTTTTTATAATTTGAGACGGTGTTGTAGCCGGTGTCAGCTTGACTTCACTATGAGGCGGAAGCGACCCTGAACTGACCTTTCTGCCTCTGTCCTCCTCCCCTTTCCGCCTCTCCCCCAGTGCTGGGATTTCAGACTCTAGTACAGAGGGGTGTTTTCAAGTGGTTTAGAAGGCTGGGGTATAGATCAGTGGCAGAACGCTTGCCTAGCATGCAGGATCCATTCCGTAATAAACACAAGGAAAGCCCAGTACTTTGAAAGGTGATGTCAGTCAATCATAGCATTCCTTTAGACACTTGTTTTCAGCAGGGTGGGGAGAGGAGGGGTAGGGGTGAGTGGGGGCGGGGGTGGATGACTAGTTGCCAATTTCTTGTAAAAAAAAGAAAAGGAGAGCATTCTTTTGGACAAATATATTACCGCACCATGTTTAGTTTTGCCATCTTTCCGATGAGTTTGCTAACTGTTGTGGTTTCTCTCAATCCCCTCTCTGTCCCTGCCTCTCCTGTCTCAGTATCTCTTTGCTACTTATATTGCTCCATCAGCCGCCCTCGACATTGGACTCGAACAGGAAGGGAAGAAGGACATCTACATGAGAATACAGCCACCATTTGAGGACCTCTTTGACACAGCGGAAGAATATATCCTTCTCATCCTTCTGGAACCCTGGACACAGATGGTGATGTCAGACCAAGTGGCTTACAGAAAGGTAAGCCTGGCAAACAGTGCTACAGTGCTTGTAGGAGGTGGTTCAAACACGGCCTCAGGTGGACCACAGCCTCAGGTGGGCTCTGCAGTCAGGACTGGGGAAGCCCCCAGGCACAGGCAGGGGAAATGCTCATTAACTCTGTCTGTTTTTATCTTCTTCGTTTGTTTCTTGTCCCTTCCCTATTGCCTCCTAACAAAAGGTTTAATCGCCGCCACTCTTGGCTGTCTGTACAAGCATGTCAGAGGAGAAATGTGAACTTTTACTTTGTGCAAGTAGCCAAATTGGTGTTGTCCTTTACTGACATTTCCCAGCAGTGGTCTTAAAGCTAATGGGAGAGACCCATTTTATTTTGTGTTGGATGGGTTACAGGAACTATCTCCCCCTCCCATAGAAAATCTAACTGCTTCCGGTGTATCCTGAAAAAGCCAACCCTCTGACTTCACCATTTCTATTTAAAGTACCAGGTGTTCATCAGATCATAAAGCCTGACTGATAAGTTTGTACACACCTTTTGACATGCCAAAAAATGTCATTTTAAACCTCAGCATGATTATCATTGATGAATAGAGGAAATTTCTTCTTTAGCTATTTCTTTTGAATCACAAATTAAAACTGTCCCTGGGTTGTTTTTTTTTTTTTTTTTGTTTTTGTTTTTGTTTTTGTTTTTTCCATTAGGTAAATGCACATACCCAGTATGTGAGGCTACTGTTGGAGTTGGGTGCCACTGCTGAATTTCTATTCTTTATGTGACACTTTAAAAGCCTCTCTCAACTTATATTTATAATATACCCTGCATTTCACAGAAGGAATGTGAAGTCTGTAATGTGATCCTCTAATTGTAAGATAAATTTGGAAGTATAATTGCCCTGAACCAAAAACATTTTGGCATTAGCAAATGAATCTTATAAAAAATGTGTAAGATAGATTATATACTGTTTGTGCTTAATAAAAGGAAAGCATTAATCTTAGTTCTAGAATATTTCTTAGCTTCGCTGACTGTATGTTGTGAACTCATTCCCCAGAAGGACTTTCAAGCAGACCACGAAAGCTAGCTAGCTGTTAGATACAGAAACTTCTCAGGCACCTAGCCAGCCAAACTTGACTGTTTCTTCCCTACAATAGAGAATTGAAGAGTGGTTTTATTCTCCTGCCTATAGGAAATGATGCTTTATATGTTAGAAAGACAGATCGGCTATGAGCAGTAATTTAACCAACTGTTTCCTCTTTTGCTATAGCAATAAACCACTTAGGAACGCCTGTAGACAACGCTGCCCCTTCTTTCCTCCTGGGAAGTACTTGGTTCATACAGCCTTGGCCTTGGCCTTCTCTGTGACTCATTCTCTTACATTAATTAGAAACTGAAAATATTATCAACATAGTTACATTGTCTGTGTGTGCCCAGGGAGGAGGGGCTCACTGACAGCAACTGTGTCATTGAATAGAAAGTATTCATTCTTTGTTGTGTACACTTGATGTGTCACCTCATTGTAGCATTGTAGCTAATATTTTTAAAGGTGGGGTGGCTTTCTGCTCCTGCCTCGAAATCAATTGCCCATTTTTTGGTAAACTACAATCTGTCCCGAGTTTTTTATAATGTGCATTCTACTAGTATAAACTTTGTTGATTGTTAGGTGGAACTACAAGAAGAGACCCGGCAGCTAGATTCCACATACTTCAGAAAGCTACATGCTTTGCATAAAGAAATAGTTCCCAAGAAGGCTGAGGTAAGGCATTCTGTACTTAGAAAATCGCCAGTTAGAATCCTAGGGACAGTTACCACCCTGTCCGCTGCTGGTAAGTGATCTCATGTCGAGAGGCATATTAGTTAAATAGGCACCACCCCGCTGCCCTTTGCCTGGCATACTTGCTACATTTGACAAGCTGCAGTGTTATACTGACATGTTCAACATAGCTGGAAAAACCAGCTTGATCAAGCGGCAGAGGGACTTTCCTAAGACCGGAAACTTAAGCCTTAAACTACATGGTGAACCCTTAATTGGTTATTCTCTGCAAGTCAGTAACCATATTTGTTCTCAAATTACAAGAGTTCAATCGTATTTCCTAAACAAAAAGAAACTCTCATAACTATAGCAATAGATTTTTAAAAATATGGAACATAATTGGAAATGTCAGTACAAAGATAATTGGATCGGTTAGGATATTGACTTTTATTTTTACTTACAAAATTATGACATTTATTAGTTTGTTTGTTTGTTTTGAGACAGTCCCCTGTAAACCAGAGTGGCATTTACCTAGTGTGTAGCTGAGGAGGACCTCAGTTAAATATATGTGCCACTATGCCTAGCTCAAATTCTGAAGCTTGTATTGATTAGATAGATCTTGATCAGTTCATAAAAACCATAAAATTAATGTATGCATCTACATAAAAGTTGCAGCTAATTGACCGGTTCAGGACATACAGTTATATAAAAATATATGGAGTAAAACACTAATGTCAAGCTGGGTGTGGTGGCGTACACCTCCCAGCACTCAAGAGGCAGAGGCAGGCTGATCTCTAGTTTGAGGCTAGCCTAGTCTCCAGAGTGAGTTCTAGGACAGCCAGGGCCACAAAGACACAGCCTGTGTCAAGAATAAATAAATAGATAGTTAGATAAATAAATAAACCAATCCTCCAACTCATATCATGTGATCATACTTAGGTAACATTACATATATGAACATACATGTATGTATATGCAAAAAGAGATGTCTGGGAAGAAGTTCACCAAAATGGGAGAGAGTTCTGAACAGTGGGTTTTGAGTGATGTTTAGTTTTTTTGTGTGTGTGTTTAACTGGAGTTTTTACTTTCATATAAATGTTTTTCAAAAACAAAAGTTTTTAAAATAAAATCTCAATAGTTGCTTTGTTGATGCAAAAGATTTTGATGTAGCATGAATTCAAACTGGGGAAATAGATAAGCATCCATAAAGGTAGTACCTAATAATGTATTTTAAGATTCGGGAAGAAAATTTATTTGTTTGTTTACTTTTATGGATTTTCAAGACAGGGTTTCTCTGTGTAACAGTCCTGGCTGTCCTTGAACTCACTTTGTAGAGACAAGGCTGGCTTCGAACTCTGAGATTCACTTGCCTCTGCCTCCCAAGTGCTGAGATTAAAGGCATGCCATAGGTATGTAGTTTATTTAGATATGTGCATGTATACATATTTGCATATGATTTATATGTAAATGTATATGTGTATGTATATATACACAGAAAGACTATATATGGTGATGGTAGAGAGAAGTAGGAGAAAGAGAAGGGAGGAAAGGAAAGCACGTGCAACTAGGGAGCTTGAGCCAGGGTAGGAATAGAAGACAGGAGAGAGAGAGAGAGAGAGAGAGAGAGAGAGAGAGAGAGAGAGAGAGAGAGAGGAGAGAGAACAAACATAAAAGAGGGAGCCATTATTGGTTTGAAGAGAAAACTGAACCTAAAGAAAGGTCTAGAGACCTACAAGACTGCTGCCAACCAACAATGTGAGCAACCGTGGAAAGGCTACCATAAATGCCCTTCCCGGAGAGTGAGATCAACAGCTAACTTATCCACCATCATGGAGCCCTCATCTAGTACCTGTTGGAAACAGAAGTAAACATCCATACCTAAACACTGAGTCGAACTAGACCCAGATGCAGAGAGAGGACAAGACCAGGTTGCAAAAACACATAGAGACAGCTGACCTGAACAAGGAGGAGCCAATGGGCCCCCAGACGATAGCTGGGAATCCAGCATGGGACTGACTCAGGCCTCCCTGAATATGGGTCTCAGCTAGAAGGACTGAGCAGTCTAAGGGACCTCAGACAGTGGAACCAGGATATATTCTTGGTGCACAAAAAGACCTTGTGGACACATCCCCCATGGAGGGATACTCCCTTAACCTAGAGACAGGAGAGAAGTCCTAGTCCCTTCTTCAAATGACTTGACAGATTTACATGACCCCACCTGGATGGCATTGCCCTACATGTGGAATTGAGGTGGGGGGATGGTCAGGGTGAGGGGGGAGAGAGGGGAAGAGGGAGGGAGGAAGGGAGGGACAGAGAGGGAACTGGGATCGACATGTAAAATAAAAAATATATATATATATAATAAAAAAAAGAGGACCTGGATCACCCAGTCAAATAAAATAATAAGTTTTTAAAGACCCATGAACAAAATAATGCATAGTATTAGGGAGGGTATAAAAAGCCATGTTCTGAGTGACTGTTCTCTGGGGCAAGTGACATCCATCTTTGGTAGTTCAGCTGTATCTCTTGCAAATGGTTTTCTGTTTAGTGTTTGTTGATGGTGTTTATCCCTCATAGAAGATTGGAGAGCATCATGAGACCATCTGAGTATCAGTTCCCTATCGCCTGTTACATACCTCCCTGCCTTAAATTCACGTGGCTCAGATAGAGTATATAAGTTGGAGATTGGGGTGGGGTGAGTCATTTTATGATTTTGTTTTTATTCAAAAGGCATTTCCTCTTCATTAAGAAATCAAAGTAATATTTTAAAAGCCAATATTTTGTACACGATGGCATGCACTTGCACATAGAGTACTTTGTTTATGCCTATAAATGTTTACTAGTATTCATTAAAAAGGATGGAATAAAAAGAAACAGGGAAAAATTTGAGAGTTAGAGAATGAACATCCGGTGTGTTTATCCAGTTCTACCCGTTGTTAACTGGCCTTGGCCAAGGAGGTAATTTTTATTTTAGTTTTCTGTTTAAAACTGTAGACAGTTTGTTGGATTTAAGAGATTTTGTGAAGTATTTTGTCACTAGGACACCGCTGGATCTGAGACGGGCATGCTGTCACTGTCTCAAGTCCCTAAACAAACGGAGTACTGGAGTAATGTCCCCGAGGAATACAAGCATTTCACATTTAACGATCTACTGAACAACAAACTGGAATTTGAGCATTTCCGCCAGTTTTTAGAGTCTCATTCTTCAAGGTGAGGGAAAATCTGGTTTTAAATATGTTTCTCAGTTTTTAAAAAAAAAATCCCTTTTTGATACTGGTTTTGATTTATGCTATATTAACGGCTTGGCAGGAGATCTTTACCTATGGCAGTGAAAACTGACAAACAAAAATCTGCTTAGGTGACTTGTCCGTACACACAGCTGTGTTAACCTCCCATGTTCCAGCAATCGTGCGACGTTTGTTGGTGTTCTTAGCGCTAGCTAGCTTGAAACACTTTTTACGCTTTGCTTGTCCTGCAGATCCCTTTAGTACTTCTGGGGAATGTCTCTTATATTTCACTAACTATTGTTAAGAGTTCACAGTCTTATTAACCAATACATAAATTACACGTTGTAGCTTTGGAAATTTGTGTTCCACAAACTGAAATATTGATCATCTTTTTCTATCTCTCATTCACGGACCCTGGTTTGAACTCAGGGCCAAACTTCACCATTTCTCCTCATCTTGGTGAGGAGTGTTCTAAATTTGCCCTGTTGTTAAGTAACCATGACATTTGTTCGGGATTTCCCCCTGTATTTGAAATTGGAGACACTAGTCCCACATCAAATGATAGCTCTTCATCGCCAGTTTCTGGCCCAGGTACTCCCTGCCAGAAGGCATTTGTTTGGAAGGGTTAGGACTGAAGAGGCAGTGGAACCCCCCACTGCACGGGGCTTGGCTTGGCTTGGGTTGTAGTCACTAGTCCTTGATCTGAGCAGACAGCCCCCTCCCGACTGTCAACAGCTTGGCTGGTCTAATTGAATTTAGAGGGATAACTAAGAAGGAGTGTGCTTTCTTTTCAGTATGGACCTCTCCTGTTGGATAGATATCGAGCAGTTCCGAAGAATCCCTTTTAACGACCAAAAGCAAAGGGAAGCAAAGGCTATATACATTAAAAACAAATACCTTAATAAGAAATATTTCTTTGGCCCCAGCAGCCCAGCTTCTCTGTACCAGCAGAACCAGGTATGAGCACATTTGGGTGTAAAAGCAATCCTTTCTCTTTGCCAACAGCGTGACAGTCCCTTTGTATTGTGTGTTGCTTTTTTGGAGGTAGACACTTTGGTTTAGGTATTTGTAGGTACCTACAGGCATCTAAGTATTGAGTACCTACAGGCATCTAAAGTTCACTCAAGTATTACGTGTCCTAAAACCTATTATTTTAAAAGTTACTTTAGTGGGTAAAATATCATTCATCAATGTTGGTAGTAGGGGCAGGGTTCATAAGTTTTGGGAGTAAAATCACAGCCTCACACTGATTTGAATTTGTCATTTATTCATTGAGTGACTGTGTGCCATTAGTATGTCACACACAGGGGGCCCAGTGTAAAACCATATGGACAAGGGCCTTGCATCTTCAACAGTAGAAAGCAGTCATTGCCCACCACCTCGAGTCTACCTACCACCTCTGACTTTTTCCCTTCAGCTGCTGTTACTCAAAAGGCTTTGATCTTGGAAAACCTGTTTATGATTATGTCACCCTAGAATGGTCATTTTATTTTTTTTTTAGTTTTAGTTTTCTCAGACAGTGTCTCTCTACATAGCCCTAGCTGTCCTAGAACTCACTCTGTAGACCAGGCTGACCTCAAACTCACAGAGATTCATCTATCTCTGTCTCCCAAATGCTGGGATTAAGGGTGTGCACCACCATGCCCAACCTAGAAATTTTTCATAGACTATGAACATAGGTTTAGCCACTTCGTTGTACCATGACAGTGGCCTGAATATTTACCCACTAAGAACAATAAAGCCATCAGTTACAGGAAACAATCTGATTGTACTTTTGAATTTAGAATTAAAAAAAAAATATTTAGTATGCAGTTTTTTTGGTTATTGTTTTTACTATCTAAAGAGCAAATGTGTATTTTTTTAATTTTAGGAGCTTACAAGGATGAATATTCTTAATGGCTTATACTTAGACATGGAAGTTTCAGATTAATGTTAAATTCAGTGAAGAAAAAACTCTGAGACATTCATGAGTTCAGCCGACCTGCACCACAAACTGTCTGTCTCTGGAGGGGGTGAAGGAGCAGGGCTTGGAGGGAAAGAAGGTGCACGTTGGAGGCGTGGCTGGGCATCTCTGTAAGCAGATGTGTGGGATGAACACATGGGAAGCATGCATCCTCTGTTTGGCTTGTGCTCCATCGAATGAGGTTTTGTGGTATCTGACACTGCGTGTGAACAGGCTGTAGTACATGCTGCATGCTGAGAATTTAGGCGACTGCGGGAAAGCCCACCATCACTGTCCATCAAATGGCCTCACAACTCTCCTATTGGCCAGTCTTTGTCTTTGCCACTCTGCTCTTCCGTCTGCAGGAACTTCACACTTGGGAATTTTGCCTCGCACTTTGTACAGATCATCCTGTCCCGGACTGAGTTTAGAACTGCTTTGCTCTCTCATCAGCTAGTCAGTCTTTTTGTTTTCAGGAAGATGCAATCTGATTTTTTACTCTTACCTAATATCGTTGGGGATGGCAAAAAAGATGGTTTTATTATAGGTTATACATTTTATTATTTGTTATATGATTATGTAAAATATTAGTTGTATTTTCTTAATTTTATTCATCAAAGGTAAACTAAATCCAGAAGGCTTATTGCAGTGAGCAGAACATTGACAGTACATAGAAACGTGTGGAAAGAGCAATGATTGGCTGCCAGGCAGCCATGGTTGAGGCACTTGGCTGCCACGGGAAGACTCAGGCCATGGACTCGGGATGCTTTGCCAGTGCCACTGGCTGTACAAGCCAGTTGAGCACCTGTAAGATCAGGCCTTCCTCTACCTGCCTCCTCCTCTGTGCCCTTCCTGAATGTTGTCAGCTAGAAGCACCTGTGGGACAGTCACCCCACCACGTGTGCCCAACAACCCAGCAACCAAGTTAGTGCCTGGGAGCCAGGGAGGAGACCAGGGCAGGAGTTAGGCCCTGGCACCCAAAACAAACACACATAAAACAAAAGCCACCGTGCTTCTCCCAATATTCCATAGGAAGCAAAAACCATGCATTAACCACCTCTATGGACACCACTGCGTTTAGGTATGACATAACTAGAAGACAGTCTATGGAAAATGGAAATTGTGCCATTTGCCCAATGCGATGCAAAACGGTCAACATGAATGAATGAATCGATGGCTTTTATTGGTTAAAAGAAAAGCATGTGGTTCCTGTTCTGTTTTAACCCTCCTAGGTCATGCTGCTGAGTGGTGGCTGGGGGAGGATCCTTCACGAGCAGTTTGATCCATCCGTGCTGGTGGAAATCCAGAAGCTCGTCCTGAATAAGCTGGAAAACGTGTGGCTGCCGTTGTTTCTCACAAGTGAACAGTTCTTATCACGTCAGAAGATAAAGGTACATGAACAGCGTAGTCTTGGGGCAGTGATTGGCAGAGCTCAACCAAACCTGGCCTGTTGACTTGCTGCCATCCTCTAGTGGGTAATTGTTAAAAGCATGGACTGGGACTTCTCCCATTCCAACCCCAACATTTGCCATGCACTCGTGGCTCCTCCTCTTCTGAGATTCATTAGTTCAGTTTTTCCATTGGAGAAATAAGACAGTCAACGACAACTGCGCTAGGCCATGTGTAGCAGCATACGCCGTAATCCTCTGGAGGTAGAGGTAGGGGGATCGCTGCAAGTTACAGGCCCAGATGCAACTGCATAATGATGCCCTATCTCAGTTGTAACAGCAATAATGTGTGCTTGGTTTCCTACTGTGGCACCTGGCTAGGAGAACAGACTTACACATACATCACCTAGTAGTGCAATTGGGTTTTGTTTTCTGTTTTTGTTGTTTGGTTTGGGTTTTTTGTTGCTTTGTTTTTTATTTTTATTTTTGCTTTAGAAACAGGATCTTTTTACATAGTCCTTGCTGGCCTAGAGCTCTCTATGTAGACCAGGCCTTGTACCACCATGCCTGGCCGGCAATTGGTGTTTTTAATGTTACTAAGTTTTCACACAGATAAGCAAGAATATACAAGAGCATTCATTGCAGTATCACATGGGATAATAGTTAAACAAGTTAACAGTAATTCCATTCTATGGGAAGCTTTTCAGATTTCCATATATAATAAGATTATAAATGGGATTTTGTAGTGAGATATTCACTTTGTCTGCACCCACTGGATGTGGGGATAGGGGCGGATGTTACCTGGGGGAACTAGGTCTGGGGAAGAGTCCCCGGAGCACTCTCTTGCTTGCAGCACGGGGACAGAAGAGCATCCAGAGGCATCCGTGGGACCAGGAACCTGCTGGTGTTCATCTGTCTCGGTTGTAAGTTATTTCTCCCTGAATAAACATCTATTTAACCTGTCTGTTTTTCCTGATCCTTATTAAACCACGATAGGATTTTGATATAACAATGAGTTGTCCACATGGACTGACTGATGTCCACATGTACTGACATGCCCACATGTATGACACATGTTATTTACTGAGAGACTAAGAAGGTGCAGGCAGTACATAGGAAATGATTGTGTTATGTTCACTTCTGTTCTTTATCTTCATACACATAGCTATGCACAATCATCTGCCATGTTTGTGGCTGTTTGTTCCTATGGGAAAAAGCCCTGGAAAGATCTGCCTCTTGAAGAATATGTTTGGAAAGTGAGGACTTTGCTTTTTATTTTTTAAAACAGGCTTATCACTTGCTTTTCTTTGATTTTATCTATATGAAGCAAGCATTACTTTGGTTGTTTAAAATATCAGCAGTATATCTAAAAAGAGGTTGGCCAGTCATGTATATTTTTGATTTTTAAACATTAATGCTAGTCAGAAAAAAGCTTGAAAAATATTCCTCTACATTACTTTCAATTTGTTAAGCTCTTTGCGGCCTACTGATCTGGAAAAAAGCCTTGGTTATTTTCACTGAGCACGTTAGGAGAAAACTGTAGTTAGAACAGGATTTATAGTACAGGGACGAGCTAACTCACTTAGCAAGATGTTTCTAAGCTCTGGGGAAAGTCTAATCTCCGTTGACTTGAGGGAATTCCCAGTTCTTTCTCCATAGCCAGGGGAAGTGACGTTCGGCTTGCTGATAATTGTTCACCATATTTTCTCTTTATCTTTACCACTTGTAGTCATTTCCTGACTTTGCATTCTTTGGGTGGCCAACAAAGAAAACTACTGCTTCTAGCAGCCTTCAGCAGAAGATGCAAAGCAGGGAGAATTTTGAATAACCGATGCTGGGGTATCTCACATGCTTAAGAGAGGAACTGACGTCCGGAGCTTTAGAAAAGATGTAGCCAGGGGTGGTGGACACCTATGTACAGGCATTGCTTGGCAACCTCAGAGCATGTAGTAACTCAGGGAATCTAGCAAGAAAGACCAGGTCTCCTTCCTCTGACCTATGGCTGTCACAAAGACACAGGGCATGGCATGAGCTCGATACAGAGCTTGCCTGGCATGCAGGAGGCTCCTGGCTCAGCTGCAGCAATGTTTTATTTTTCAGACCTGGCCCTTTCAGATGAGCTTCTGGGAAGATCTGCTACGGAAAATGCACAAAAAATGTACAGTGTAGACTGGGCAGGAACAGTTCCCCAGAGAAGGGTGACATTATATACAACCAGAAAACTCCCAATTACAAGTTGTCCCTTGGTATTCAGAGAGGACCCAGGGACCACTAAAAATCTGACAATGCTGAAGTCCCTTCAGTGAAAGGAGGCTGCATTTGCATATGATTATGTTACATTTCTCCATCTCCTTTATTTCATCATTAGATTACTTATGAAATCATAATGCAATATAAATGCTAAATAAATGTAGGACAATAAATATAGGGAAGGGGAGATGCCTGTTCATACTTGGCACAGATGCAGTTTTCTTATGTGAGTATTTTGCATCTCAGGTTAGTTGAATCCATAGATGAAGAACCAGCAGATACGAAATACTTTCTGTATTCCTGCAAAGTATGGGTCTCTCCTGAAATCACGCATGGAAAATGTAAAGCGGCTATAGAACAGCCCAGCGCCTGTGAGGCCATCACTTAACTCCACAGTTTCAGTTCTTACACCAGCTGAGCGACACTGTCACACACATTTGGAGCAACACCGCTAGGTGACAGTGATGGTGCAGCCGAGGAAACCGGTTTCCCTGGGGAAGCCACCCAGAGTGCGCCGACTGCAGGGTTTCGAGTCTCAGTCTGAGTCTGTCTCCAGAGTGACACTTTCCTACCTAACCTGACCTTTGCCTCTTTTCTTAAGCTGTTAAAATGCTAAACAGTTCAAACTCTGGCTGTTCTGGATATTCTGATGAAGTAATTAATTGGTTCTTCTTTCAGATACAGATGAAAGACATAGCGGATGAACTTTTGCTACAGAAACATGACAGGAAAATTGGAGTTTGGAAGGTAAGTAATTATATTTTCTCTGTCAAAGTAGCACACACACACATACACGCTCATACACACGTGCACATTCACACACACACTCATCTACACACTCATTCTCACACACGCATGCACTCTCATCCACACTCATGCATTTACATACAAACTGTTCTCACACACACTCACATACACACACTCATAGTCATATATACTCTCACACACTCACATACACACACTCATAGTCATATGCTAACTCACCCACACGTACACTCTCTCATCTCCCTCCGTCACTCTGTCTCTGTCTCTCTGTCTCTCTCTCACATGCACACTCACACATGTGCATGCACTTACACACCTAGTTCCTGACCCTGATTGTCTAAACCTCCGACTGATGGCTGCTTGTGTTCCTGCTGGCAGATGGAACTTGGGGGAAAGGGTGACTTTGCAGGGCCCCTGACCTCTCAACTGTGGAGCACACGATGGACCTTAAAACACGCACTTTCTACCCGAGGCCCTAGGTCTGGTCCCCAACACTGGGGCAGATGGGCATACACACACCTATTTAACTGTGTGCACCCTGCGTGTGTTCTTACAGAGTGTGGTAGTCTAGTAGCAAGACAGCGGGTCACACAGAACGAATAAATCACAAGAAGCACGACCATCAGGCTAAATCATCCTTCATTACCCCTGTGCTTCAAATTGCAGCTTAGCTTGAAAGCAACTGCAACGACTGTTATTATGGAGATTATAAAAATCTCTGTAATGCCATGCTTTAGTAGATGGCTTATTTTGCTTCTTAGCAAGTATGGCAAGCACTGGTTAGTGAGTCTATAAGTTACTGAGGATTTAGCCTCTGGAGGTCATGAAAAACAAGACCCAGGTAACCCCTCCAAATTAGCGAGCAAAGATAAAGGTTTACCCTCATGTTGGAGGAAGTTTTCAGGGAGCCACCTTCTTCATCTTCCTCTTGAGGGAGGTGCTCTTTTGGAAGGTTTGGTTTTGCTATGTTTTTATTGGAATACTAAGTATAGTGAGCTTATAGTTTATATTATTGTGAATTATATTTTGCATTGTTTTCTATTTACTTAAATTACAGGTTTTCATTAAATGGCTAAGTTTTAGTGTCTTATGAAGCAGGTCTTAAAACAGTCTTTGTTGAGTGGGTTTTAAATAAACATCCCACTTTAATCCATAGTTGTTCCTATTTATAGGGTTGTAATCTTAATGTGGACCAGATGTTGAGAGCCTTGAGTTTTTGTTCAGAGAACATGGCATGGCCTCACTAAACAGTGATAGGCATCTCTGTCCTGTGTCTGGGTGAGTGGTGGTGCCATTCCAGACTGCCTGGAGTTGCCTTTGCAGTCCCAGCTCAGGACCCTTCTCTGTCCAGGCGGAATTCATTACTCTTTCCTTGGTGTTCCCGGGGCATTTCTTGCAAAACTCTAACATTCGTATGCATGGTCACATGTGATTTGTTTCAAGAAACTTATTTAGGCCTTGTCACTAGTAGCATTTAGTCGTTGGTGCAATTTGTATGTCTATCTAAAACGTTGCCTTTGGAACAATGCTTCCTTGCATGGCTATCTACTGACATCAACTCGGGTGATTTCCAACAGGATTGAAATCTATTTTCAACATATACATTTGGCAAATTTAATAAAATCTATTTATGTTTTTTGAATCTGAGGGAGTAAAAAAGAGATTGAGTGTGTGACTTTAAATGGGCAAAATAGTTTCAAAAGTTTGTTTTAAAATTGTTACAATATAAAATGGATGCATGTAGATAAAATACTTTTAAATTAAGTATTATTAAAACATCATGGGTAGTTTTAGATTTTATGATATGTAAAGTAAATCAGAAGAATTCCATCATTAGAAAGAAAATTCCAGCATGTGGGAGGCAGAGGCAGGCGAACCTCTGTGAAGGTGAAGTCAACCTGGGCGTCATAGTGAGTTTCAGGCTAGTCAGGGCTGGCTGCACGATGAAGCTCCATGTCAAAACAACAAAAAGAATTATTATTAGTGTCAGAGTGAAGTCCAGTGGTAGAGTACTTGCCTGGCATGCACAAGGCCCTGGCTTTTATCCCTAAGAGCATAATGTTAACATATTTGATAAGTAATAATTGTTAAATACTATTATAAATTAGAATAATTATTCATTAGAATTCAAAGTTTACAAAATGGTTTAAAAGCATATCATATAAAAACACGATCCTACCAGGATAGAATTCGAGTAACTTTTCAACTTAAATTATAGGATTATTGGACTTTTCTTAAAAATATTATAATCTCAAAGGATAAAAGAAATAATTAAACATTATGCAATCATGAGATAAATCACAATGCAACTATATCTGTTCATAGCATTACGATGACTGTTTTCTCTTTTTCCCACTGATTGTGAGTGAACTGTAATGACCATTAAAATGTTTTAACAACGTAGTTATGTGTAAATCAGAGTAATTTCTTCTTTCTAGTTTCTAAAACCAATGGAGCCATTTTAAAAAAGACAAAAGGCAGTGTCAAAGGGAACTGTCAGAGTCTATTATAGCCACACCACAAATTTCAGTAGCCAAATCAAAAGCAATGGGAGTTGGTGGTTTTAGTCTAATTAACGACTTGATTGCTGCTTTTGGAACATTCCTGACTTCCTGCATTGTTTGGACAGCCTGTGGCGAGTAAGTGGATATCTTCATCCTGTGAGATTATTGCCTTCCGAAAAGCATTATTGAATCCAGTCATTGCAAGGCAGTTTCAACGATTTGTGGCCCTGAAAGGAGATTTACTGGAAAATGGAGTACTTTTTTGGCAAGAAGTACAAAAGTTTAAGGTATTGTATTGGGAACTGGAGAAAACCCCTTTGGTTTGAAGAGATGGTGCATTATGATAGCAGATATATTTCTGTAGTTTATGAATTTGTATAGCATATCCCAGTGTTGCCAATTTTCCTTCATGCTAACGTTTAAACAGTGACTTACTTATCGTCCACTGTTTAGAGACACCTCCTGTTATATAATGAAGAGTAAGAATGAGCCCCCACGATAGTATTTGTGCTTTGGAGAACAGGCAGTAAGTACAGTACATTTCTGAAGAGTGTTTTAACTACACCTCTCTACCTCATGCATGTGTAAATGCACCACCCACATTTGTTTCCTGGAGACATTCCTAATTCCGTAGAACAAAGACCTTCCTACAGTAATTCTTCCTAATCAAGTGTGCAGTGATAACAACCAAAGATACTGGTTTGCTGGTGGACTGGCAGGGACAAGGGAAGCTCTTCTGCTAGAAACAGTGGCCACATTCAGAGCCAGAGGTAAAGGGGCAAGCTCGGGTGCAGAGGAAGCTTAGTTTCAGGCTTGGAAGTCTTCATGGAATCATATAGAATATTTGCCTTGGATAAGAGAAGGAGACTTCCTTTGTTTTGTTGTCTAGACATGCCTGAGTGGTATCCAGCCCCTACCTAAATACTTCCAGGGGTGGGGGCTGTTTTCCCAACAAGCAGCTTATTTTGTCTTATTGCAAAAGTGTGGGGAAAGGATAAATTTAATTGAGATAATGATTTCTGTTGTCTCCTAAGTATGTCTTGAGCAACACTAATGACTTGTTCTGTAAAATCCAAGTTTTCTCCAAATTAGCTTTGTTGTTCTTGTTCTCCATTTTAATATCTCTTCTGTAATATAGCTGCAAACTTGTGGTGATATTCTGCCTTCAACCTTGGGTGGTTTGAATAAGAATGGTCCCTATAGGCTCATATATTTGAATGCTTAGTCATCAGGGAGTTACATTACCTGAGAAGGATTAGGAGGTGTGAACTTCTTAAGTAAGTATGACCTTGTTGGGGGAGGTGTGTCACTAGGAGTGGGCTCTGAGGTTTCAAAAACCCATGCCAGGCCCAGGATCCTCTCTCTCTCTCTCTCTCTCTCTCTCTCTCTCTGTTTGTCTGCCTGTCTCTCTGCCTGAGGATCAGGATGTAGCTCTTAGCTTCAGTGCCTTCACTTTCCACACTATGATGATAATGGACTAAACTCTGAAACTGTAAGCAAGTCCCCAACTAATGCTTTCTTTCGTAAGAGTTGCCTTGCTTCTGGCGTCTCTTCACGGCAGGAGAACACTGACTAAGACAGAAGGTGGTACCAGGAGTGGGGTATTGCTGTGATAGGCCTGACCACACTGCCTGTTGGCTGAATGTAGACTTGGGAACTTTAGATTATCCAAGTATTTTAATGCTGGAAGTGGGACTCAATGGCCATAGTAGTAGGAGCATGGAAGGCAGCAGCGGTGCTGGGAGCAATGGAGACTGTGATGGCCCCATTCAAGAGGTTTCAGAAAAGAAGAATATGGGCAAGTGGCCTAGAGTCCATTTTTGTGCTATTTTTGCCAAGAATGTGGCTGCTTTCTGTTCAAAAATTCTGCCTTAGACTAATTTGAAGAGTTTTGTATTAATGGCAGAGGAGATTTCAAGATAGTCTAGTATTGACTGTGTTGTGTGGTTATTAGTGGCCAGTTTTATGCAGATTTATAATGAAAAAGAACACCAAGCAGTATAACAGAGGCCGGACTTGTGAATTCCTGAGGGAAGTTTGAGTGTCACTTGAAGTCTCTTCTTAGGGTCATTTGCTCTTTGAGGATCTGTGGTTCTGATTAGCTGGGGCTGACAAGTCAGCTCTGATTAACAAGAGACCTGAACTGAAGTAAAACCTTTGCTTTACTGGGACGATTGGTGCTGTTCAGCTGGGCTAAGCAACTAGAAGTGATCAAGAAGAGACCAGCATCACTGAGGAAAAATCTGGGAAATGGTTCTTCAAAGTCAGCATACAGAAGCTGTGTTCTTGTGATGGGTGCCAAACTTGGTAGTGTAAGAGTCACCCGGATGGTACTGGAAGGATGTATTCCAATCTCTCAAGTTTTTGATTGACTGCATCCCTTGACATAAGAGCTAAGCTGATTGTTAAAGGTACAGCAATGACCAGTGTTCCCTCTCAGATGTACAGTGTCTAAAGAGAGACAGGTGAGTGGCTAAAGAAGACTCATCAAGGCCCAAAATGTTAGGGAAGAGGGTAAAATGGCATCTCTATTGAGGGGTCACGAAGAGCTTACTTGAGGGAAGCATTCTTAACTCTAGTAATAGGTGAGCATTAACAAGGCAAGAGCCTTTAATCCCAGCACTCGGGAGACAGAGGCAAGTGGATCTCTGTGAGTTCAAGACCAGCCTGGTCTACAGAAGGAATTCCAGGACAACCAGGGCTATATAATAAGATCCTGTCTTAAAAAAGAAAAAAAAAAAAAAAAAAGAAAAAAATTGGGAAAAATCAGTTATGATTCTAACTCCTATCCCATTAGTAAGAATTAATATTCTGTAACATTACAAATTTGTTTTCACTTCACAAGCTTATATTCAATAATTATAGTCAAGTTCACCTTATACTTGTATTATAATCCTAAGTAGTGGTGAACAGTGAATATTCGTTAATATACCAGATTTATGCAGTACAAATATGCTTTTTCTGAGTTGGTGTTAAATTGAGTAGACATTCTGTTTATAATGCAATATTAATATTAAACTTCTCCCCTACATAACATACGATAAACCATACATAAAATGCTACACGACTGCTACCAAAAGTTTTCTTTCCTTAATATCCTAAGACATCTCTTACAGTGACCGTTGTTCACTGAGTCAATGTTAGCTCATTTCTGGCCTAGGATTAGAAGTTTCCAAAGTTGTTTGCTGTCAGCTGATTTACAGAGCAAAAATTCTGACACAAAAATGCTGTAATTCAAGCCAAGGTGTCTATTAAAAAAAATACTGTCTCCAACTGTGGCTTTAAAACTAGATCACTTTAATGTACTGTCACTCTTTAAAAGACTTCTGGAAGGGATAGTGTGGTGATGTTATGGTTGAAACACGGAGTGACCCCCAGGGGCTCATGTGGCATGTGGTGAATATTTGGTCACCAGCAGGGGGCACTGTTCTGAGAAGCAGAGGTAGAGCATGGCCTTGAAGGACATATGACTCACACTGCCCCCCCCCCCCCCCCCCCCGCTTCCTACCCAACTAGAGGTGAGAAAACTCAGCCACATGCTCTGCCCACAGGAGGCTCTGTTTCACTGGTAACCTCAAAATCCACCCAGCTGAGGGCTGTGGTCTTGAACCTCTGGAGCTGTGTACCAAATAGAGGACAATCTCCCCCACTCCACCCGGCACACAGCAAAGTTGCTTTTCCTCATATTTGCTCACAGTGACGTAAGAGGAACTCACGCAAATGAGATGACTGGAGCACTACAGATCCTAAGTCACTGTAAGGACGCTTTTGCTTAGCAGCAGCGGGCAGACTTCTGCTAGCCTTCGGTGCTAGCAGTCAGCAGGGAAAGGTTTTATACCCACCTGTGATCTGGTAGGTCCAGATCCTCAGAATTCTTATAGGACTCGGTCACAGCATCCAAGCAACAGACTTTCACATGTCTCCTCCAAGGGGGTTGACCCCGGCCCAGCCCAGTGCCTGGCGTGTAGCAGGTACCCAATGTAGAGCATAGCTGCTGATGAATCATTCCAGGCGTTAACACTGCCCCTGCATAGGGAAACAAGTGACAGAATTAAACGAAAGCAAGACACGCACACCAGTGCGTTAGGCTCCCAGAGTCTATAGGAAAGCGTCTTCATCAAAGATAGTTCTGACATGTCGCCATGCCCTCACAAGCCCAAGCAAAGAGGCATACACCGTAAAGTGCTATGAAAAAGCATCAATCACATCCTGCTTTGTCCCCCCTCCTCCTCCTCCAGGACTTGTGCCACTCACATTGTGATGAATCTATCATCCAGAAAAAGATCACGACCATCATCAACTGCTTCATCAACTCCTGCATCCTACCATCTCTGCAGATAGACATCCCAGTTGAGCAGGCCCAGAAGATAATTGAACACAGGAAGGAGCTGGGACCATACGTGTTCCGGGAGGCACAGGTAAAGAGCTGACGGCGACGACTGAGCATGTGTTGAAACACCCCAGCAGTCAAGGGATTCTTTAACACTTTTGCGTTGCTCATGGGTGTCAAGATTTTAATCTCTCCGGTACTGGGATTTGCTCTCTTTAATGTAGGTAGATATCTTTTGCCTACACCACTAAACTATTCAAAACTAGTAACTTACAGACTGTGTTCTTGATAATGCCTCAAATGAACTAAACCATATACTTTGACTTTTCACAGTTATTATTTTTTATCTACAAATTGTAAAACTACTCCAGGTAATTTCTCCTTCTTCTCCCACCATTCACAATTCCCTTTTAAAACATCTGCTACCACAAAAATGTGTAAAATATGTGTGTCTTAAAAGTTGTGTACTTTTAAAGATTGAAATATTCGCATAGCTCATAAAGTGAGAGGGGATTTAAGCACTCAACCAGCGGATAGTAGTACACTCACGAAAGGAAAACCCTGCCTCTTTGTACCTGCTCAAGTTACTTCTCCTTAAGTTAAATCAGAGAAAACTTTGACTTGGTGAGCATAATTTATTTGCATTTCAGGAATCCTTTTAGTGATTTGTTCCTTTAAAAATGATTAAGAAAAATAAGTTATTATAATAGGAGTAACAAGGAAGGGCTATGTCACAGACTAAGTGACATGAAACAGATCTGAAGTGTGATTGCCCTGGAGCATGGAAAGAGGCCATTATTCCTTAGCATCCATTTATAAGCCAGCTGTATCCAAGTCCTCTAAGGGACTGAAAGTGGACCCGCAACCCAAATTATGCATTAAAACAGGCAGAGGGGCTATTGAGGATGTGTAAGAGAGAAACAGAGAGAGCATAGCACCAAAGCTGTAGCTTCCGCTAAGATCTCAGGACTTGGCCTCGCCGTGCAGCCCTCACTGACCAGAACAAGATGTGTGTCCCATCTTGGGTCTGGGCGTGGAGGTCCAGAATGGGCCCCTTGTCCTCAGGCTTACAATGTCTGTCTGATTTCCTGAGGTGGAGTCTTAGAGGTTAGAACGTCTGAAAACACAAGAGTCTTCACGTGAGGTCCCCTTTCCTCGAGTCCGTAATTGTTCGTTTCCCGAGGGGAAGCCCCGAGAGGGGCACCCTTTACCCCACAGATGCGAGCCCGAGACCTGGTGGCCACCACCCTGTCCTTCTCACCTTTACTGCCTTGACCTCACATTCCATCAGTGCTTAAGACTTAGTCCTGAATCTCCTGCTGTGACACGTATCTATTTCTTCACCCCCATGCCAGTTCAGGTCTGCAAAGCCTTTATCATTATCAAAGCCCCAACATGCTGCAAGCAAAGTACTTTTCCCAAACTGGCATCAGATGGTGCCATCCTCTGCTTGAAATGCTCTGTTGTCTCCCTGCCTCCCATGGAGCAGAGCTAGTTTGCTACGCACCTGTAACATCGTATCTTACCACCCCTCCTCTCTAGCTGCAGTTCTACAAATGGCCATTTCTAGTCTTAGTCCTGAAATTGCGCAATGCCATCTTCTCTCCCCTGTATTTGTCCCTGTCACAAGACAGATACCACTAAATCCAAAGTAGATGGTATTCATCTTTGTGGTCTAATGGTGGAGTATCTCTGACCATACGGGTGTGAGATTTGTCATGACGGAGGAATGTAACGTCGTCTTGGAAACAAGAAGGAAGAGGAACCAAAGGGCCGAGAGATAAATTAAAAGTTGCTCTTCTAGCCTTGCCTCAGTCTAGCCTGTCTGTCTCACACCCACTGCCATGGCCTGAAGGGTTCCCATCTGCTGGTAGTAATCAAGGTAGTACATCTTAGAATTTGGACATTTTTAAGGTTCTGCAGGTACAGGAGAATGTGTTTTAATAACCAATACTAGCCTCAAGTGTCCACTGCATTTTGGGGGATTATAACACTTTTAGTGCCCTCTGTCGAAAGCCTGGGTTCTGGTGGGGTAACATTTACAAGAAAGGCTACTATATGACATGCATATATCTGAGCTGAGGGACTGTCTCGGGTTTTACAGAGATAACTGAAAAGTGGTGTTAGTAGATGCCAACTACTAAGCCAAGCATCCAAGCATTCAAGCTGAAGAGACTCATAACATACAGCATTTGTATGTATTTCATACAACGTGCTTTCATCATATTCACAACCTCTCTCAACTCTTTTCAGACCAAGCCCACTTGTCTACTCACCCAACCTTGTGTCTTTGCTTTTTTTTTTTTTTTTTTAACCATCCAGATGAAATTTGTGCTGTCCAAATAATCTTAGCTGTGTGGCCCTCTGCTGAAGTATATCATCGTAGAAGGAGCCACCTTCTTAGAGAAAGCTGCCTCCCCTCCCCAGCAACTGACAGCTGCCAATAGCTCCATGTCCTGGGATGGGATTGTGCCTGAATTTGGTCTGGCCTGGGCTTGCACAGATGCTGTGGGTGCTCACAACCTCCATGAGTTCACACATGCAGCTGACCTGCTCTGTCCAGAAGACGCTGTCCCCTTGTGGTCATGACTCCCTCTGGCTGTTGTATTGTTTCTGCCTCCTTTCCAGCAATGATTCCGAAGCCTTTGTAGGAGGTAGTGTGCCATATATGTTCCATTTACGGCTATGCATTCCATACTTTCTTACTCTCTGTATCTTGGGCACCTTGGATTTGGTGTTACTCACCCCCTACTGTGATTAGAAGCTTCTGTAATGAGGGCTGGAGAGGCACGGATTCATAGGTTTGATGATGTCAATCAGAATCAGTTTAATACTTTGTCCACTAAGGCATCCATGGACATGGGTCTCCAAACTTTTACATTCATGCTTCCTACAAGCTACAAATGCAATAACATTTTATATTTTAAAAGGAGTGAATAATAGCTAGGTGGTGGTGCACGCCTTTGATCCCAGCACTTGGGAGGCAGAGGCAGATGGAACTCTGTGAGCTTGAGGCCAGCCTGGTCTACAGAGCAAGTTCTAGAACACCCAGGACTGTTACACAGAGAAACCCTGTCTTGAAAAAGAAAAGAAAACAAACAAACAAGCAAAGAAGAGTAAAAGGGTGAATAACAGTAGCTAGGAAGGCAGTGGCCCTAGGCTTTAAACCTATCACTTGGAAGGCAGAGGCAGGTGGATCTCTGTGAACTGAGGCCAGCTTGGTCTACAGAGTGAATTCCAGGACAGCCATTCCAGGATACAGAGGAACCAAAATAAAGAAAATGGTTAAGGAAAGAGGAGTGAATAAGTAATTACACTCATGCCTAGAAAACATGAGTAGTGACTTTTGCTAATTCAGGATTCAAACATTGACTTTGGGGGAAAAATTCCTCTTTTACCCTAAGAGTTGGCTTGGAGCCTAATGGGGTGGCTCATTTTTCTCCAAGGCATTTGGTAAAAGCCACTCTCAGCCATAAGATGTTGGACTTGATTTGATGTGGCAGGTCCTACCTTCTCGGAAGTAACGTATGCCTCTAGAGCTAATGTAAAATCTCGGCATGGGAATTACAGCAGCTACTCTTATCTCCATAAAGATCACAATTAATCACTTAATGTGGAGTGTCCTCGAGGAGTGGGGGCTAGGATGCCACATTGCTTTTTAAACCTTCTTCTTGCTCTCACATAAAAGAGATTATATCATTTAAAAGTTACTCAAGATTTATTCTTAGATCTGCAGCTTTGTTTAAGAGCCTTTCCGGAGGCAAAATGCTATTTCCTTTCTCCAAAAGACAGAGAAGGGCTCGGGGGAGTTTCCCTCCAAGAGCTGAGTACTTGGAATATGTTACATAAAACTGCAGAATGCGGCTGACCAAGCAGGGCAGTCTAAAAAGAAAACGTGGACATCTTACTGGAAAAGACCAAATGGGGGCCTTTATTAATGCAATCAGTTGGATAGGGAAACATAAAGGATGCAGTAACTTTTAAGGGGACCCCTTGAGGGCTTTAAAGGACTTCTCATTGGTGGGGAAGATGCTAAGGAGAAGTGCACTCTGCACTCACTCCAGAGTCTGCAAACAATAAGGCGGAGGGGAGAAGTTAATCAGTTCGCTGCATTTGTAGAAAGTTGTAATCTGAGGCATACTCTTTTTTTTTTTTTTTTTTTTTTTTTTTTTTTTTTTAATACAGATGACAATTTTCGGAGTTCTGTTTAAGTTCTGGCCACAGTTTTGTGAGTTTAGGAAGAATCTAACAGATGAAAAAATCATGAGCGTTTTAGAGAGAAGACAAGAATATAAGCAGAAAAGGAAATTGTCAGAGTCAGAGGAGGACAAGATCGGAAAGGTAAGGCCAAATCTACTCTAGACGGAGTTGCACTTATAAAAGATAAGGTGGTATGTGTGATTTCTAGAAGGATGTAGGCCGAGCAGTAGAAAGAGAAGTTATGGAACACAGGCTTTAGTGAGTTTAAGCCTTCACTCTCAGCTCTCAGACAGTCCATGAATTTCCCAAAATTGATGTAAGATACGTTTCCTTCCTTCTTCACGAAGGCTTTCTTGACACCTCTAGACAACACCAGCAGCTTCCATCCACTGGAGTGATTTTCCTCCTCTGTCTCTCTCTCTCTCTCTCTCTCTCTCTCTCTCTGTGTGTGTGTGTGTGTGTGTGTGAGTGAGTGAGAGAGAGAGAGAGGGAGAAAGAGGGAGAGGAGAGGGTTGTATGTGTGTGTATGCATATGTGTGTGGAAGGGTGTCTGTGTGTGTGAGAGAGAGAGAAAGAGAGATGTGCATGTGTGTGATGTATGCATATGTATGAGGTGTATGTGTGATGTATGTATGGGCATGAAGTGTGTGATGTGTGCATATGTATGAAGTCTGTGTGTGTGATGTATGCGTATGTATGAGGTGTATGTGTGTGGGGTGCCTGTGTGTGAAAGAGAGGTGTATGTGTGTGGTGTATACATATGTATGAGGTGTGTGATGTATGTGTATGTATGAGTGATGCACATGCAAACACCAGAGCAGAAACTGCTGTCCTTCTCCATCACTCTATGCCCTGTGTCTATGAGGCAGGGTCCCTCAGTGAACCTGGCCCAGTGATCCTCTGGTCTCCATGCCCACAGCTGTGGGGTTACAGGGGACCACACCCATCTTTTATGCCACAGTGTGCATGTGTAGATCAGAGGACAACTTGTGGTGGGAGTCGGTTCTCCTCTTACACTATGTGAGTCCCCAAAATGTACGAAAGTGATCAGGCCTGGCAGCCAGGGTCTTCGCCCCCTGAAGCCCACTTCTTCTATTTTTATATGAGCTCAAACCCAAGTTACCAGGCTTGAGTGGCAAGCATCTTTACCTGCTAAGCCATCTCTCCAGCCCTCAGCTTCTTTTAAATATGCTTCTATATGGTAAACATGTTGTTACCACTTACTAGTAACTGAAAATTTCACACTTGTATTTATTTTAATATGGAAATGTAAGAAGGATCAATATAGTAGTAGCAGCTATTTGTTTCAAATTCTTACCATCGATGAAGGTAGACGAGTGAATGCTAGAAAAGTGAGTATAGGTAACCTATGACTTTTTGTAATGTGAAAATGTATACTGAAAATAATCTGTCACTTTGCAATAGATAAGACTTTTCTGTGGGCATGATTCCCAACCTTAAATGTCAATCTCACCTGTCAATTAATAGCAGTAGTATTCATCTTCCATGACTTGAGGGAAACTAATAGGCATAGTATGTATAAAAGACCATTCGACCGTGTAATCATCAGGAATTGTTTGCTCACGTGACACCATACAGAACAGTACGTAAGGAGCCTTAGGTAGAACTGCCTGGCTTGTCTCCTAGCCCTATTGTTCCTTCTAGTCCCAGTAGGTCTGTTTTCTTTTTATTATTAGAGTAGTGTCTTTTAATGAGTACATTTGTGTGTATATGCCACGTGTGTGCAGGTCCCTGTGAAGACTAGGAAACAGATTTGGAATCCCTGGAGCTGAGGTGACTGTCTATTCTGAGCTACCTGCTGTGGGTGCTGAAGCTGGGTCTTCTGAAGAGCACAGTGCCACCCCCAACTCATCCCCCACTCACTCCCCAAGGATAGTGAGGTCTTCCGTGGGGACCATCAATGTCACATCATTTGGGGGGAAGGGCCTAGGCCCTCCTCTGTGTATCTGGGCTGAAAGAGTATCCTTCCATAAGGAATGAGCTCCCAAAGTCCATTTGTGCATTAGGGATAAATACTGGCTCCATTGTTAGAGGTCCCTTAGACTGCCCAGGCCTCCTAATTGGCACCCATATTCAGAGGGCGTGGTTCAGTCCAATGCAGGTTCCCCAGCTTTACCACTGGGGTCCCTGTGCTGTCACTAGGTTAGGTCAGCTGTTTCTGTGTTTCTCCAGCACAGTCTTGACCCTTTGCTCGTCCCTCCTCCCTCTCTACAACTGGATTCCGGGAGTTCAGCTCAGTGCTTAGCTGTGGGTGTCTGCTTCAGCTTCCATCAGCTACTGGAAGAAGGCCCTAGGATGGCATTTAAGGAAGTCATTAATCTCATTATTGGGGAAGGGTATTTAAGGTAGCCTCTCCACTATTGCCTAGATTGGGGTCATTTTTGTTGATCTCTGAACATTTCTCTAGTGCCAGATTTCTCTTTAAACCTATACTGTTCCCTCTATTACGGTATCTTTTTTCTTGCTCTCCTCTATTCCCCCCCTTCAGTCTTCCTGATCCCTCTTATTCTCCCCCCCCCTTCTCTTTTTCCCACCTCTCTCTCTGTGCTCCCAACTTGCTCAGGAGTTCTTGTCCCTTCCCCCTTCTGTGACTGGATTACCTCACTCAGGATGGTTTCTTCTAGTTCCATCCATTTGCCTGTGAATTTCAAGATCCCACTGTGTTTTTTTTCCACTGAGTAGTACTCCATTGTGTAAATGTACCACATTTTCTCCATCCATTCTTTGGTTGAGGGGCATCTAGGTTGCTTCCAGGTTCTAGCTGTTACAAACAACAATGCTATGAACATAGTTGAGCAGCAGATGTCCTTGTTGTATGAATGTGAGTCCTTTGGATATATGCCCAATAGTGGAACTGGTGGATCTTGAGGTAGACTGATTCCCATTTTCCTGAGAAACCGCCATACTGATTCCCAAAGTGACCACACAAGTTTGCACTCCCACAGGCAATGGAGGAGTGTTCCCCTTTCTCCACATCCTCTCCAGCATGGACTATCATTGGTGTTTTTTGATTTTCGCCATTCTGGCCAGTGTAAGGTGGATTTGGTCACTGACACAATAGCCCAGCCAGTGAAGTGCTGCTGTGACTTCGGTCCCTAACAGCATGTGAATCAGCTGGGCATGGCGCCATGGACTTGTAATCCAGTGCTGGGAGACAGAGACAGGAGGGTTCCTAGGGCTCATTGGCCAGCAGCCTATCCTAATAAATGGAAGACCCCGTCCTATAAAACACCATGTTGAGAAGCAACACCCCAGGCTGTTCTCTGGCCTCCGTACCCAGATGTATCTGCATACTTATGAACACACTCATCCACAGCTAACATGTCTCTAGGAAATTATTATGCATGAGAGAAATCATCATGAAAATAAACACAGCTGTTGATTACTGATTGGTTTCTAACATACAGTGTTGTAAATGACCTTACTTCCTATTTGAAAGGATGAAGGTAGGCGTCGGGCACCCTCTCTACTCATCCTTTGAATGTGACGGCACAGTTACTCATGTCACCATGCAGCAACCGTCTGAGAGCATGGCACCAATCCACCACTGTAATGTATTCATTTTCCCACACAGCAAATACCCCAGTGCTGCCTGTGACAGAAGACACTGTTCTGCAAACAAGCATGCTAAGCAATGCAAGGCCTGCATTTCCCCAGTATGCTTACATGAAAAAAGGAGCACATACATCTCGATTCCATTTCTTTGTGGGTTATAATTTTATGCCCATGCAATTTTCCCTACGTTCATTATCTGTCTCATTCATTTTTAAATGTTTTTATAGTGACATGGGGAAATGAGAGATCAAAGCCACCAGCTTAACACCAAGGGCAGTACTCGCCGTGGACCCATTTCTTTGTGCAATACTATAACTTCTTAAGGTCTCATTATTTGTCTTGGGATAACTTAGTTTTTTTCCTTACAGAGCGGAGTCAAACAGTACACAAGCACCACAGTCTCCCTAACCAAAGTTCCTCTAGCCAGCGAGTCCTTGCTAGGCCTGCAAGCCTATGGCCGCCAGGTAAGACACCAGGGCCCACTTCCTCTCTAGAGCTGTGAATCACAGTGACTTGGCCACTCAGCAGCAGGAGGTCGTATGTGAGGCAGGCTGAAGGGGCTCTAGAAATACAGCTGATGAGCATAAGGTGTAGGTATGAAAATGGGCTAAAATGATAACCCTCAGAATGACTGGAAAGGAATATCCTCCAGCCTGCAGAGAACATGTAAACTACCTGATCATGGGCAGTGTAATGAAGTAAAACTGTGTTTTAGGGGTTTGGAAGTTTTCCCCTCAGAGCATGCTGGGAATTGGAACCCAGGGCCCAGTATGTACTAGGCATGTGGTCCCCCACCGAGCCCTTCCTTAGCTGACAACGATTACCTTGAAGATAGCTAAGTGACAGTCCTCCTGGATAAATGAATCCGTATATGACGACCACCATAGATTATCGTGTTGAATTCAGAGATGGTGGAGAATGCTAAATGATTTTTTTTTTTAGGTCTGCATGTTGTCACTCTAGAAAGTAGGGTATAATAATCAATTATCACTGTCCAGCAGTCAGTGTAAATTCAAAATTATCTCCCCCAAAACAATCTTGGCTGTTTTGTAAGCACCTAAGTTAATAATTAATATGAGAATAACTGAGTCACTGTAACTTTACCCAAACATTCTTGTGGCATTGTTCACTGGTCAACAGTATTATAAGTTCCAATAGGCCATTAAAAAGTTTAAATAAAGGAATAATATTTACATCACCTCCAGTTTGCTTCCTAAGGGAAATCTGGCAAAAATATTTAATAATTAAGTTTGAAAAAATTTTTTTAGCCAACCTGGTGTTATTCAAAGTATATAGAAGCCTTGGAACAAGAGCGAATTCTTCTGAAGATTCAAGAAGAAATGGAAAGGAAAATGTTCACAGGTAACTTTTGCCTCGTGCCTTGTGTCCAGAGTTGTTGTGTTGTCATCTAGCACAAATTTTAGGAGTTTGTGCCATCACCTCACTGTCCCCTCTCTTGAGTCTTGGTACAGGTACACCATCTTTCACAAACTTGCTTAAGCTTCCCACTGGTTTTGCTGTTCCCTGAAGAAGAACCTGTCTCTCCACAGCATTCAGAGTCAGTTTCCGTGATCATCTTCCGCTCTCGTCTTGATTCTGCTTCTTCCCTAACCTTCCAGAACCCGAGGCCCCGACTCCCCACCACCACCACTAACTTCCCATCCTCCAGTTAGGAGAATGTTCAGTCTCTCTGTGTCTCTAGAATCTGTCCTCCTCGTTGGAGGAGGAGAGGTAGAGACCCATGCCTAATATGTCTCCTGTTTTCCAGGGTAGCGACATTCAAGCCCATGTTCACGTTCTGCCGTTGATAGGTGCGAGGTAAGCCATAGAAGGAGACTCCCTTTTACTGCACACCCACACAGGCAAATCTCCACAGACCCAAACCACATGCCCACTCGGGCACATCACTTACACACTCGTGCCTCACTAGCACACCAAAGGGTAGGAACAGCTAGTCTTCTGATTGATGGCACAATCTCCCAGGACGGGATCCCTCCAGTGGAGAAGGGCTTCTGTTTGCTACTTACCAAGCCTCTCCCATCAAGAACCTAGAAGGGGAAGGACACCATCTCAGGCTTCCTAAGCGTGCCTGCACTTCACGTATTGTGAAAGACTAAACAGCAAGCCTGAGTCCCTCTCCGTTGGGATCCTGATTAATCTGTAGGATGTTGGTTGGACTCTAATGGTATAGTTTACCAAGCCCTTTCCACAGCAGTCTGGTGCAGGATGTGGTGTGCCTGTAAATACCCTTAGGCTCATTTCACACAATCCTGTTTTCCAGCTCTTGGGAGCTGAGGGAGGGGCTGGAGCTAATGTTCTCTAGTTTTCCTTCTAGTTAGCCTCCTTACCACACCCTCCCAAGCCACACCCTCCCAAGCCACCACTTCTTAGTTAACTTCATAACGCCCTGAACATCAACAAGGGCATCACATTTGTTTTTAATGACAGCTCTTTTAAATTTTTATCATTATTGTTCGAGTTTATTTTCTATCCATCTTTGTTTCATGCATTTTTTTTCCTTTTGCAGGATTTCTTTAAGCCAACTTGAACTAACATGAGATGCTGAATGTCCAAGTCTTTAGATAGTCTGCATTACTTTGGAATACTATCTACTATCTAGGCTAGAGGAATTAAAATTGTTTGCCTACCATAGTTCTTGAGGAAAAAGCAATATTATAGCCCCTCGTGCAATGTTTCAACACATGTTTTTTGCAGGCTTACTTCAGTTAGCAGATCTAGTCCAGGGGTGTGACTCTTCCTAGTACAGCTGACCCACGAGATGAAGAACCTTCCACTCCCATTCCCAGATGTGATGAGTGTGCCAAAGCAGTGTTTTTTTTTTTTTTTTTTTTTTTTTTTTTTTTTTTTTTACAGAGCATTGTTACACAGCTCTCACATGACATGGATTAGCATTTCAGGCTCCATGGGCCACTCCCTGAGAACCTTCCAGTTGCTCGTGGGAGAAACTCTGGAACTGCCGTCTTTACCAGACATCTAGGTGACTTCCATACAGAAGGCAGCCTATTAGAGCAGAAAGAAGCGGTGCGTGGGAAGGGAAGAGCCCTGGTACAGGGCTGCACTTGTGACAAAAGAGGCCCAGTCACTCACCTTCTGATGCTTGTTCCTGGGGAAGGAGAGCATGGAAGAAATGACCTGAGAGGGGCGCTTGTGGCCCACATCGCTCAGGGCCTTCAGGCACTATAATCCAGATTTGAAACTATGTCATACAGCCCCACACGGTCCCAGAAAGTCATCTCAAAGACAAGACCACCATCCAGGATTCTCGAGATAGTTTGGAATTTTAAATAGGGAAAGTATCAGATGGCATACTTCATCTTTCTTCTAAAGAAGGGACTAGCAGACGCTTGTTATCTGTTGTATGTTTGGGGGTAAGGCTCCTGCTGTGCTGTCCTTGAAGCCCCTGAGTCTTCGGATTACCAGACAATGTGTGGACCATCCTGCCTTGCTAGGCAAAATGTCACTGGCACTGCAGGGGGCTGCCTTCCTGTCTGCAGTTCTGTTACTACAGTTCTTTGATGCACCCAAGAATTGTTGCCTTCCTGTTTTCTGAGCTGCTTTCTTGTTGCAAGGGTGGTTATGATGACTTCCAACACTTTCCATGTCAGAGTGGGGCTCTGATGTGTAACATCTGTATTTTAAGTGTTCTGTAGACAGTTTGCTTAACTGTACAATTCATAGTTGAGAGAACTTAGTTTAACTATAAAGTTAATTGTCATTATAAATAAATTCTAATTGTGCTCTATCTGGGCATTTGGTGAAACATTCTTGATTTTAATGAGTTTTCTGTTTTAAAAAAACATCTCACTTTTGTCAGCAGCAGGTGTTGAGTACACTGATCTATGTCATGCCAGCCTATGCACTAGAAAACGGGGGGAACTTGCGCTCGTGGCGTAAGATAAATACAAGTACTTTGAAGGAAATTCAGAAGTAACCCAAAAGTACTCTGTCCAGTTAAATTTATAATTTGTGCTGTATTTCTTCTCTTCCTCCTGTTTTATTTTTTCAGATGGGGTTTCCCTGTGTAGCCCTAGATGTCCTGGAACTCATTCTGTAGTTCAGTCTAGCCTCGAACTCAGACATCCACCTGCCTCTGTCTCCCAAGTGCTGGGATTAAAGGTGTGTGTCAACACTGCCTGGTTGAGACAGGGCCTGGCTGTCCTGGAACTCACTATCCTTGCCTCTGCCTGTATAAAGGCTTGTGCTACCACAACTAGCATGCTATATTTTTTAAGCATTTATCTTTCCAATTGTCATAAAATTGAAAAATATAGCATATAAACTGAGTATACTTTTTTCTGTTATACCCTTTACAATGAAATTCCTGCCTACAAAAATACATCCAATAAGGTCAGGGCTGCGGCTCAGGAGAGCACCTGCCCGGTAAGTACAAGGCCCTGGCACCAGACACCAGACAAGACAAACCATCTACAGACTCAGCAGAAATTAGGTCTAGCTCTGGATCTGTTTATCACAGCTCAGGAGAGCATTTGCCCATTAAGTATGAGGCCCTGGCACCAGATAAGACAAACCATCCACAGACTCAGCAAAGATTAGGTCTAGCTCTGGATCTGTTTCTCTTACATTGGGCAGCAGTTTATTTAATCTCTTATGAATCTCTGTTTAATAATTCATAAAGAACTCAGAATCTTTTGTAGCTCTAATCAGTGATTCTGTGAGTTTACACAGTCATGCTTTCTATTGATTAAATTTTTTCTTTGACAATTTCCTTTGTGTGGATAGGGCATTCTGTTTAGTTTTAGCCTCCACCTGTCACATCTCCCTACCAGCACTACTAAGCCCACCCACCTCTTCCCCATAGCCCCTTTCCCATAGTTTTTTCTTTTCTTTTTTTTTTTTTTTTTTTTTTTTTTCCTTTTTCTGGCCTGGATCATGTATGTGACCATGGGTGTAAAACTATCCATCGGAGCCTGGTCGGCTTAGCACCACCGTTTGGCACACAGTAGACAATGACTATTCCTTCCACAGAATCTACCAGTTGCCTATAATTCAGTAGAGACGGTAGGGCTCTATGAGCCCCTCCCCTATTAGTGATTGGATGTTGGTAGGCTCCAATGCAAGCAACCATAATGGCTGCGAGGGCCTGTTTTTGGTGGCTGAGCTGAGTCATGAAGGTGCCGGTGTTGTGTGGTACTTTGTGTTCTGACAAGTAAAGCTTGCCTGAAGCTCAGAGGGCGAAGCTAGGCACTGGCTAACCATAGAGGTCTGGAGGTCTGCACAGAGAGGAGACAGGAAGTGACAACATGGGGGCAGAGACAGGAAGTGATAAGGCGGGACATAGACAGGATCTCCACCCTTTCGGTTGGAGGATTAAGAGAGGTAAGAGGTGACTGTGGCTGCTCCTTTGTTTCTCTGATCTTTCATCTTTTACCCGATATCTGACTCCAGGCGTTTATTGTTAAGACTAATTAGGATCATACTTCATCCTAGCTCCTGGTTAGTTCTTTCTGTCCCCTCTTCCACAGTGATCCTGGGACTTTCTAATGTGTCTTCGAGGTTTTGGTCTTGTTCCTCACTGAGAATTTATTTCTGTATTTCAAATTAGGACCTTAGGTCTAAAGATGAAAAGACAGATTCAACATCTATAATGTTTCCTTTTCCAGAGTCTAACACACACCAAGCTGCCCAAGGGTTAAGTGCTGTTGGAGAAAGCTCCATGTCAGATCTTTGTAGAACAGAACACTGCTTCATGCTGTTTCTTTGAAAGCGATGACACTTGATTTGTAAGTTACACACAGTTGGCTGCTTGATTATCAGCTGCCAGGCCTTTCCCCACACAGAACCACAGCAGTAGCTCAGGAACATAACCCTGCACCTGCCCAGGTAGTCTGGGAATGTAGCTCAGCTGGCAGAGTACTTGTCTGGCGCGTACATGAAGCCTTGCATTCAGTCTCTGGCCTGCTCAAGCCTAGTGTGATGGTGCATACCTGCAATCCCAGCACTTGGCAGATGGAAGCAGAAGGATCAGCAGTTCAAGGCCAGCCTCAGCTACAAGGTGAGATGGGGGCTAGCATGGGTTTTATGAGACTCTGGCTCAAAGAAAGCTCTGTGTGTGTGTGTGTGTGTGTGCAGGAAGATGAAGAGTTTGAGACAGTTAGTGCATCATAAAAAGACCTTACCTCAAAAGCAAACAACCTTAGGCTACCCAAGGAGATCCCACCCAGCCACTGAGTCCCAGAGTCCAAGCCTGCCATTGCTGTGTAGAATCACTTCCATCCTCATGGCTGTCACTGCAGTGTGAACCACTGCAATCACCATGGCTGCCACTGCAATTGCAATCGCAGTGTGAACTATTTCCATCTCCATGGCTGCCATTGCAGTATGAACTATTAACAATTGCCTCGGCTTCTGGGAACTGCCCCATAGACTCTAACAGTTCGAGAGATGTTACCTTGGCCAGAACGCCTTCAGATGGACTTACATGACCTGATCTACATCCACCCTGGACCTTTTCTGTAGTAGCCCTCAATCTATCTGGACAGAATACTTCCTGACTCATGACAGCTAGGGATGCTGTACCCTGTCTCCTCTAGGCCATCTAGGGGAGCTCCTTCCTATGCAGCCTCCCCAGGTGCTGTAGTCAAGACCCCAGTAAAGCCTCATTTGATTGCTTTGTTGCCTACTTGTAGTCTTTGTTGTGGTACTGAGAACAGGCATGTCCCAGTGCTGTCCATCACAAGCACACCCAGCAGCCGCTACGCAGGAGTGAGTGGCTGGGAGAGGGGCTATGGCAGGAGAGAGACAGAAAGCTTCTGAGAGCTATAAGCTCTGGCTGCAGGGAAACTGCAATGCTAAGAGG